TCCCTATGTTTCTCTCTTCCTCACCTCTTGTTCCAGGCACCACTGTCTTTTCTGATTATTTTTCTAAAGGTCTCTATCTAAGGGCTGGGGAGATGCCCTAGAGATGCTCAGATGACCTGAGCTCAGCTCATCACCGCGCACAAAACGGTGGTTATGATGGCACACACGTGCGATCCCTGGGTTTCCATGGCTAGATTGGCGGCGGAGTCCGGAGGATCCAGGACATTCGTTGGAAGGCCTGAAAGTAGGGCACACTCAGTGGTGAACAGGGGGCCGTCTCAGATGAGGTGGAAAGTGAGGTCTCACACCTGAAGTTGTCAGACCTGAAAGGCCAGGTTTTGATCTGATATTTACCCTACAGCAGCTGATACAGCTCTTAGCAGCTGAGAGAGGGAAACATCCCAAATGTTCGTGAACAGATAGATACAGACAATGTGGTAGACAATGGAGTACTACTCAGCCATTAAGAGAATGAAAGCCTGCTGGGTGGTGGTGGTGCACGCCTTTAATTCCAGTGCTCGGGAGGCAGAGGCAGGCGGATCTCTGTGAGTTCGAGGCCAGCCTGTTCAACAAGAGCTAGTTCCAGGACAGGTTTCAAAGCTACAGAAAAACCCTGTCTTGGAAAACAGAAACAAAAGCAAAAACAAGAAAGAAAGAAAAGGAAGAAAAGAAGGAAAAGAAAGAAAAGAAAAGAAAAGAAAAGAAAGGAGTGAAATTCTGTCACGTTTGGCAACACGAATGAAAATGGAGGTCGTTATGTTAAGCGAAACAAGCCAGGCTGGGGTGGTGGCTCCCTCTTGTCATACCAGTGCTGGGGAGGAGGAGATATACAGAGCCCTTGGGCTCACGGACAGCCTTCCTAACCCACTGCCAAGTTCTAGGCCTGTGACAGCTGCTCTACCCCCCAACACGCTGAATGGTACCTGTGGAATGACAATGGTGGTGCCCTCGGGCCTCACACACGTGTGTGAACATATATGCATAAAACTGCACACACAGCAAAACAAAACACACAACCAAAGGACTGGGGGCATGGTAAAATGGTGGCTGCGCTATGCCATACCGTTACGTCACGTATGCTCATCATACAGTGGTTCATCTTCACTGTCAAGTGGATCGCATCAAGGGATGCCCTGGGCCTGTGTGTCTGTGATGACATTTCTAGGCCTCTAACCTAATCAATAGTTTAATTTTTTTCATGAATTCATAATATAATAGCATTATTGGGAGGAAGTGAAAGCCAGGAAGTAGGGTGTACTTCAAGGAAGTAGGTCTTTGGGAGCAGCCGCCACGATGTTCTACCTTACCTGGCCCCAGGAGACTAAACCCCCTTTGCCCAGAGCCAATTCGGGTCCTTCCTCTTCTATGTTGATTGAGTTGGGAGCTTTGCCACCTGGTAACCAACACACAGAATAATGAAGCAGGTATTATTTTAGGGTTGAAGGCACAGCTCAGGGTTCAGAGAACAGAGTAACGCATGGGATTTGAGCAAGGCTAGCCTGACAGAGACTAGGGCTCAGTCTAGGAAATGTTCACAGAGTTTAGAATGCCTTTTAACCCGCGAACAAGCCCTGCATGTGTTCTTTACACACTCAGGTGTGGATCACAACAGAATCCTAACCTCCTTGCTGACAGCCATCTAAATAAAGTGCCCCCAGACGTCAGGTGAGCTATCTAATTTCAAACACTGAGATGCAGGAGTCTACACTTTGCCTTCAATGGTGCTGAGTTAGCAGAAGCCCAAGTTTTTTGACTGGACATTTTTTTTTTAAGTAAATTTTATTAAATTACAAAAGTTCCCATCTCCGCCCCCCCTCC